GCACCGGACACACTATGTCCATTTTGCGGCCATGAGCACTGTCTCTTATACACATCTAGATGTGTATAAGAGACAGGTCGTGGAAACCGTGAGGCAGGGCAACAAATCGAGAATAGAAGGAAAAAAACCAAAAAAGACAAAAAAAAAGAGAACATGAAACTACCTTTGAATCTGGGCAGATGCACTCCTGGAAGCACGACTGCGAGCAAACCTCCTTCACGGTTTCCCTCCGATGTAAGTGTCAGCTGTCCGTGGAAAGCGTGAGGCAGGGCAGCAAATCGAGAATAGAAGGAAAAAAACAAAACAGACAAAAAAAAAGAGAACAGGAAACTACCTTCGATTCTGGGCAGATGCACTCCTGGAAGCACGACTGTGAGCCCACCTCCTTCACGTCTTTTCAGGGTTGCAAGTATCAGCTGTCCGTGGAAAGCGCCCTGCCTCGTTGGCAGGGCAGCAAAACGAAATGAGCAAAAAAGAAAAAGAAAAAAAAGAACATGAAACAAGCGACAATTCTGGGTAGATGCATTCCTGGAAGCACTACTGTGAGAAGACCTTTGTCACAGCTTCCCCCCCATGTCCCCACATTTCAACTATGCAGGATTTTTTTACTTTTTTCGATTTCGTGAAGTAGGTGTCAGCTGTCCGTGGAAAGCGCCCTGCCTTGTGGGCAGGGCAGTAAAAGAAAACGAGAAGAAACAAAACAAACAACAAAAAAACAAAAAACGAAACAGGCAGCTATTCTGGACAGATGCATTCCTCGAAGCACTATTGTGAGCACACCTACTTCACGGCTTTCCCCCGGACGTCCATCCATTCAAGTATGGAGTTTGTCTTTTTTTTTTTTGTCTTTTTCAGTTGGGCCCACAAGGCCCAAACATTTTCTTCCTGCGGACCCTCTACCAGACCCCCGAAAAATGCGGTGTGACGTATATTCCCGTTTTTTCCAACACTTGCTAAGGTAGTGGTGGTTTAAAAGAAAAAGCGGTCCGCGCGTGACGCCCCCAGCGGGCCCAACGAAAATCGGGCTGGAAGGTCCGCGCGCGGTGCCGCACGGGACCGAGGAGGGCGCTCCGGTTGGGGACGGCGGCAGCGTCGAGGGGTGGGGCAGTGAAATTCGGGCGGGGAGGCAGGGGACTGACGACGGCGCGACGGTCGGGGAGGCGTCGGTTGGGGGCGCGTCGGTTCGTGCGGCTGGGCGAACAGGACACAAGCGGGCAGAGGGCCGACACCTAGAGTCAGCGAACGGGACAGAAGCGGGCAGAGGGCTGGCACCTAGAGTCAAGCCGCGCAGACTGGCCGCTCAAACGGCCAACGGGACGAAAGGGAGGAGGAGCGGGAGGAGGAAGGGGGGAAGAGCAGGAGGAGGAAGAGCGGGAGGAGCAGCAGGAGGG